TCGATGTACAATCCATGTACACAAACATCTCAGGCGAGAAGGCGGTAAGCGCCTTGCTGGAGATATTGCAACGAGAAGAGGACATCCTGTAGGCAGAACTGATACGGAAAGAATCGTTAACACGACTGATCAAACTGACAGTAAGGACCACATATTTTACATTTAACGGCAGTATCTACGAGCAAATATTTGTACTACCGATGGGATCTCCACTGTCACCTCTTAGCAAATGTGTACATGGACAAGTTGGAAAGGGAATTCGAGAAGTCACCACTTCGACCAAGAGTTCTCATGCGATATTTGGATGATTATTTTGCACATTGGTCACATGGTAAGGAAAATCTAAATGAATTCCTCAATTTTATTAACCAACATGACGAAAGAATTAAATTTACAATGGAGGTGGAGGAGGATGAACGACTACCCTTTCTGGATGTTGAAGTCATACGCTCCAAGGGGACACTAATGAGAAGACTATACAGAAAGAATTCATATGCGGGAATAATCCTTAATTTTCTGTCCAATCATAACTACAGACTGAAGATCGAAATAGTGAGGAGTTTGATCATCAGAAGTTTACGATTAATGGACAATGAGTTCTGGGACGAGGAGCTAGACAAACTGACACGGATTTGCCTTAGTAACCGATATCTCAGAGGATTTATAGAAAAAATGTAGAGATTATAAAGGGCCGATTTCAAGTTGGATTTTATGAAAATCAATTCAGGAATCAGGATGAAAACCAAAAGTGGATTTGCCTGCGCTCATCATAAATGAGCCAACAATTGCAACCGTTAGTAAGGACATTGAATATGAAGGTGATAACAAAGGAGAAGAAAAGACTTTTGACAAGTCTGCCGACGCCAGACGAGTAGACGGATAAACTTGATTGCCCGGGAGTTTATCGCATCAAATGCGGCAGCTATGAGTAGAAGTATATCAGTGAAATAGGAAGATAAATCGACCTACTAATCAAGGAACATCAAAGACTACAGGAACATGGATACGACAAGATCCGAATTAGCGGAACCCATTACACTAACGGGGCACGAAATCGACTGAAAATCAACCTAAAGGTTTTTGTATGTAGTGAAAATACGTGAAAACGCAAGGTCGGAGAGGACATCGAAATACTGACTGAGAGAAATCTAACCAACAAGAGACTTGAAGAAGGTAGGATCAGCGAAAATTTTGCATATTGCCTAAACAAACTCAGAGAAGACCATGCAACAGCAAGATCAGCAAAAAGAAGACGAATGGATCAAGGTATTACTCTTAATTTTAGGAAAAGAGATCGCAGAGGGATGAGAAAGCAAAAAGGAGACGTCTTTAGTGAACCTAATCAAAACAAGTAGAACCACGACACTTATGATTTGGCACACAAGAGACTAGGACGTAGGAAGTGATGTACATGGTATCATAGATATAAATAGGAAATACGCGGTGTGACTAAACTATTTGGCTAAATAGTCGTGTTTGATCATAGAAGTTATCCTTGAATCACGACTATTGTTAGCCAACTAGCTTTAGCTTACACTGATCTTATCCTTTTTCTATGACTTCCTATGCCCTAGTCTCTTGTATGCCAACTTTGAAGCTAGTCAAAACAAGT